ATACGAGGGGTTCGCGGTCTGACTTCACGGTCACGTTCTGTGAAGTGTGGCCACGAACTTCCTCGTGATAAATTTGAATTTTGGTCGTGATCAGACTGGGGAAACTCTCTGTTTCTCTTCGACTGGCTTCTTCACAAAGTTCGCGCCCGAAGCCTCCAGATACGCGGCCACGATCTTGGGCTCTGAGGCCTCGATCTTTGCCTTGAGTTTGCAGTCTTTATTCTATGACGTGATCTCCATCTCTAGGCCTTGATCATCAGCCTTCTGCCCCTTTTGCTACACTTTTTCCCTTTTCGTACATAATTCGCATGTATTGTCTAAAGCACCCTAAAATCACATCATAATCAAATAGGAACGAAATAGGAATGCAATTGACTCTATTCAAACAATTATGCACCTGAATTAGCATAAAACAAACCTAAATATGAAGAGTAAATCATACAAATTTAGGTGTTATCAATATTCACTAAAGGTATTCTTATTTCGAAAACCCTATCGGATAGGAAATTGCGGCTATGATACCACTTGTTAGAACGGAGTTGGATAATCGACAATGCAATAAAGGAAAGAACACTTAGATTTACTTGATTTCTAACACAATGTGTGTTAGCTAGTCCACGGACAGCAGAGAGCCAGTTTCACTATACTTGAAGAGATACATATTACAATGTGATTGAGAAGTATATATAGTACTTCTCCAGACGACCTAACCTAATATAATCTGGTAAAGAATAAGGTTATAGACTAGGCCGATAACAAGAACCCAAAGTTTATAAGCTCATACATTCACGACTTCCAGTCGATGATTGATAATCCGATTCAATTCATATTGACAAATGGATTTCTCGATGAGCATTCTGAATTGTGAGACATCGTTAATGTGTTTCGAATAAGACCTTTAAACCTCTTCATGATCCTCTTTCTTGGTTTGTCTAGGTGTGGACAAAGGAGGCAATAACACATTCCCTCCTCCTTGAGAACCTTGCTCATCTTGTTGTTTCGCTTTATAAAGCTTGTACCGTTAAGCTTATCCTTATAGAGGCTTGATCTCAGTGACAAGTGAATGTTTTGTGCCCACTTGTGCAATCTATAAAAAGTGTTATATGTTGTAATTAAGTGCATTTTAACAAAGACTTAACATTAAAATTCTATCACTATTACATGACAACCCTCATAGTGTCATATTTGTGAAACTGTATATAGCGGTCACGTCGTATAAGTTTATGTAAATAATGTATTTTATGAATGCATGTATTATATAGAGTGTATATTTTTTGTTCCAATATGAAACACAATACATGCATTTATTTGTTGATGTAGCACTTAAAATCATTCAAATGAATGATTTACAACTAAACGTTTTTGCGAGATTGTGGTTTGTGAATGTTAACTCAATTTGTTTTGTGCTTAGAGTATAAATGAATTCATTTATAATTATAAATTTTGAATTATATGAAATTGGGGCTAATTTTAGCAATTTCGAGAAATTAAGGTGGAATTTTCAAATGAACCCCGTAAGTATTTTACTAATTGTGATAAAATAACCAATTATTAAGTAAATTACCCCTATGCATAAACAATTGACTTAAACACTCCAGATTTCCGCATCTAACCTTCTTCGTTGGGTCGCTACTTTACCAACATATAATCATCGTTTGACACCCATAACCTCTATTGTGTGCTTTTAGGGCGACTCCCCCAATTTCATTCTTCTGCTAAACTGCAACGCTCCTACAGCCTCCATTGCCCCATCTGGTTAGAATTATATGTATGCTGCACTTATACACGTTTACTCCTTGCATATTGTTGCTTGTAGTAGCTTTTTTTATGGAGATTGTTCTTTATGTTTTGGTTGTTACAATCTTTATTGGTTTTGGTATCAATGGGCATTCTTAGCTTAGGGGTGGAAATTGGGGTGGGTGTGGTTACCGCCCCATATTTTGCGGGTACCTACATTCACAAATTTACAATTATGCTAACCACAACTCGCACCGCAGTGGTTAGTGGGTAACCATTACCCACTGTGGGTTTGTGCGGGTTGGGTGTGGTTACCCTCAAAAATCCATCTTTGAAAGCATATAGTTCTAGTCGCCAGTCGCCACTAACATATTTGTTTTCGTTACTAGACTATAGTGATATACACTTGTGGTGTTCGTGGAGATACAATTTTGTACATCGATCTTACTCAACTTGGAGATTTTTTTCTTTTTGAGTTTGGTATTCAACTTTTGTGTCAGAGAGCTGTGATTCAATATTTCTCCGACTAGCGGTGAAATATGACAATTAAATATGATCTTGTATTTTTTTCAAACAAAAGCAAAAACATACTGATAAAAGTTACAAAAGGTATTCACTTTTAATGAATTGATTATTCTCCGCCCTATTGATTATAGTGTTTCATAAATTAAAAAATTCTTACATAAAACTGACTAGGTGTATCTTTTTTATTTGATGGCTACTTTAATTTTTATTCTCGCACTTTTTACATACTATTATTTTATAAAGTTAATTCACTAAATAAATATAATTAGTGTGGTTATTGTGGATTTTGTGGGTTAACCGCAGTGGGTAGTGGATAACCATTAACCACAAAAATCGTCATTTTACTACTCACACTCAACCCACTACCCATAACTTGTGGGTATGGTTACCCACAATAAGTGCGGGTTGGTGCGGTTTGCGGATTATCCACAACCCGCAACCCAAACTTCCACCCCTAGGCATTCTATGGTGGAAATTCTATCAATGATCTTTCTTATTTGTTAGGGTTAATATTTTCGTATGGCCTGAACTTTGACCAAAATAAACATCCTGGCCAATCTTTTCGATCTATAACATCCTAGCCCGAACTATACACCAAAATAAACAATTTGGCCAGATCCGACTTTTGACCGTTAACTTGGACGGTCAAACGCGTTGACTAACGGTCAACGCGCCACGTCACTGCCAAGTCAACAATTTTCACTTAAATTTTTTTACAATTTCCACCTATTATCATTTTTCTTTTACATTTTGAACCAAAAAAAAAGTTAAACAAAAATTAATCAAAATAAAAAAATAAACCCTTCATCTCCTCTCTGATCCCTTTCACTCCCCGCTGCCGTCTGCTCTCCCGTTCACATCCAGGCAGTTACGGATTTGGCTGTTAACAATTTCAGGAAGGTGATTTCTCTCCTCGGCAAGCCTAATCGAATAGGTCACGCCAGATTCAGAAGAGCCCCTGTTTCTGCTTCTGCTTCTACCTCCGCCGCCGTCGTGGCGGTCGGTCCTCCGAAGGGGAAGAAGATCGTTCAGGATCAGCCGGGGCCGTCTTCTTACTCTGCTCCAGTGATTGTTCCTCCGACGACGGAACAAGGGTCTGGCTCTGTTTTCGGTGGCTCGACTTTCAAGGTTTACCAGCCGACTCCGATTCACCGGCTGCCTCCCTTGCCGACCAACCACCACCACCACCAGAAGGCGGCGGAGGTCGCGGTGGCGAAGGAGAGGAACGAATTAGTGCCGTCTTCCACCATCAATTTCTCGAATTCGCCTTCGATTTCAGCCGCTGCTACCTCGTTCATGTCCTCCCTGACTGGGGATACAGACAGTATGCAGAGATCTATGTCGTCCTCCGGGTTTCAGTTCACCCAGCCCTCTCACGGGAAGCCTCTCTTGTCTTCCTCCTCCCTCAAGAGAAAGTGCAGCTCCATGGATGACGTCAGATGCGGCTCCTCCTCCGGGCGCTGCCATTGCTCCAAGAAAAGGTTCGCCCTTTATGCCCCAAATTCCAATAAATCTTGAGTTAATTTAATGGGTTTTTCTGGGTTTTTTTTTTATTTTGTTTAATTTTTGTTTTTTTTTTTTGTTCAAAATGTAAAAGAAAAATGATAATAGGTGGAAATTGTAAAAAAAAAATAAGTGAAAATTGTTGATTTGGCAGTGACGTGGCGCGTTGACCGTTAGTCAACGCGTTTGACTGTCCAAGTTAATGGTCAAAAGTCGGATCTGGCCAAATTGCGGTCAACGCGTTTGACTGTCCAAGTTAACGGTCAAAAGTCGGATTCGGCCAAATTGTTTATTTTGGTGTATAGTTCAAGCCAGGATCGAAAAGATTAGCCAGGATATTTATTTTGGTCAAAGTTCAGGCCATACAAAAATATTAACCCTATTTGTTAATAGCCTACTTGTGATGAGTGATGACTAGATCAAGTCCTCGGTTCAAGAAAAAAAAAAGAGTTATTTTAGTAGATTTTTAGATGGATCTTCAAATTGCCTACTACTTTTTACGATTTTTTATTTTTTTATTTTGCTTTGTCAAATTGGTTGAATGATAAATATGTTTTAAGATGGATTTTCAATTAATAGAAATGTTGTTTGTTTTAAAATTAATAAAGTTATAATTAAAAAAATTCAATTTAACGTATTACAAACATTATTTTGAGCTTAAATTCAATTTATTTCTAAGGTTTCGAATGACATTCCAAACATAGATTTCATTTTAAAATAAATTCTAAAAAATCAATCCTGAACTATTTGGTTCAAACGGTCTGTTAGTTGATTTTATAATGAAGATAGGTATATACGGTAAAGAAGAGGTTAGAAGCAAAATACGATTTAACAAAAGTCTCATCGAGGAATTAAAACGAGAAAATTAGAATGTAATCAAGCAAATTCCAAATTACTACTAGTTTACAGCCTTTCCCTCTTCAAACTTAGACTTTTGTTACACATCACCAAAGCAAATGGATCATTTATGGCCGCTCTTCTAGTCCCTTGCCGGCCATTCCCAATTCCACCTGTTTCTCCTTCAATAATGAACTAAAACCGTTTTCCAGTTTAATTGCAGTCTTGGCCTTCATACAAAAAATTGCGGTCTTGACCCTTGGGCATATTCTTAAACACTCATCTAAAACCCATCACCAATGGTAGATCAAGGGTTTTACCGTGTCATACTCTGGTGCCTAGAAATGACTGCAAGGATGGCAATGATAAATCAGGATTATGACGATGCTAGATTTTGAATGCATTTTGATAAAAAAAATATTTATCAGGGTGGATTTGAAATGAATCATTCATGTCGGTGCTGGATTTTGGACAATGAATATTGACTGAAACCCATCGGACGATGAATCATTCATTTGTCAGCGTAAAATCACAATTGTTAGACCACTATAGATTTCTTGATTTCATCATTCCAGCAATACAACAATTTGAAATCTGTCTCTATGCAAATGAAAGCCCTATCCTCTGAATTCATCATTCCAGCAATACAACAATTTGAAATCTGTCTCTATGCAAATGAAACCTAATCATTCAAGAAACACCACCCAACCCCCTACACTCCCGAAATGCCGCATGCCTCAACCAACATGCCTACGGGCTCCCAAACAAGCACACACTCGGCATATAAACCTAGACTCTCTAGGGCATAGCTTATAAGTATAGCATTGTATTTACCAGTAACCACAAATAGCAACATACGCCAGCATCAAGTCTTGTATGTACAAACTTCTAGAATAGAAAGAATATCAGTTCAAGTATCTGCAGGTTGAGCATTTACCTTCACGCCGGCTGGTGTATTACCAGGCTTAGCCGTTGTTGTGCTTCCAAAAACATTAACTCCTCCTGAAGCATTTCCAGGCTTTGCAGGAGTTGCATTCCCAAAGTTAAACTTTGACTTTTTGTCTGCTGGTTTTAATATTTGAAACGAGCACATAAGTGTCTCATCCACACTCATCATTGCACCAGCATTATCAAACTCTCCACAGTAATTAGGCGCAGAAAATATGGTTAGAAGCTGTCTGTTGGCAAAAAACTCGTATCCATCTTCCACAACCTGCACCACCCATATAAGGAAAAGCAAAGTCAAACAATCAGCTGAAGGGCCAGATAGTGAAGAAAATCATCCACGGTTCCATGGACTGTAGAAAAGAGCAAAAGGAGACGCCCAGATTCAAGAGGATTTTAGAAATTGCAGATCAAAGGAATTGATTCAAGAATCCATCCTTGCATGAGAATATGAGATCCAAGAGCATACAAGGCAATAAAGAAAACAAAATGGACACAAGCAAAAATGAGATTGGAGGGATAAGTACCAGAAGACCAACAAATACACACCACAACTCATACAAGCAGCCAAAAACCAAGATAGAGAATGCAAGGATATGGAAAAGCTGATGATTGTACATTTTCCATGGGCTTAAAGGGTTGATGAAATGCAAGACAGTATGTAATAACATGGCCAACAGAAGAGCAAGTGTAAACCTGATGAGCGCGACAAATTAGATCCAAATCATGCTTCTGAAGGAACTCTGCCACTTTATCAGGACCAAAAGTAAATGAAACACCCCTGTCATTCATTCCCCAACCCTGAACCTCTTTGCTAGGGTCAGACCACAGCAGATCACAGAGCAAACCTGTGTCTGGTACATCAGTTGGGCGAGCTAAGTTTCTAATTTGATCCAAATTATGCAAATCTGGGGAAAGACCGCCATGCATGCAGAGAATTTTCTCATCAATTAGAGCAGCCACCGGTAGACAGTTAAAGCAATCTGTGAATGTCTTCCACAGTCTAATATTAAACCTCCTTTTGCACTCGTCGAAGAAACCATATATACGGTTAATAGAAGCACATTCATGGTTTCCCCTCAAGAGAAAGAAGTTCTCTGGGTACTTTATCTTGTATGCAAGCAGAAGGCATATTGTCTCCAGACTCTGCTTGCCTCGATCAACATAGTCTCCCAAAAATAAGTAGTTTGCATGTGGAGGTAATCCGCCATATTCAAACAGCCTTAGAAGATCAGAATATTGGCCATGGATATCACCTGCAGACCACAAACCATGTCTATCAGCCAGGTCGAAGAGTCTTTCAAATAGTTGTTCAATATTGTAAGTGATAGAATAGATAGAGGAAACTAGCTCAAAAAAGTGACAGATCAAGGCCCCAGCCTCCCTCCCCTCTTTTTGTGCAAGTCATTATTCAATGACAAAAGTAACAGACAAGGAATGATGAATTACTCATAAAAAATATGTTTAACTCTTGGAAGTGATACTATGAGCAGCCAAGCTTGCGTTATAACTTTTCCGCCTACAAGTCAAGGCAGACGGGCCAACTAATAGTAATTGGAGGCGCATCAGAAGAATAGGGACTCATTACCACCTAGCATCTCATCCTTGAGTTGGGAATTGAAAGCTTACCAACAAATCTAATAATGAACTGCATAGCAACTGGTCTGAGAAGCAAATGTTAAGAAAAAAGAGAAGCTAGATGGGAACTTAAGGTAGAGATGGGCCACATGTAATGACAACAAAGCTAGATGAAAAACAAACAAATAACGTAAGTTGATTCAATGTCATAACATAATGGAGCAGTAAAATTACCACAAATCTTGATGGGTGCTTCAAGCTCTAACAAATTGGGTTGTTGCAAGAAGATCTCACGAGAAGCCCCACAGAGTTGTCTGATTTCTGCCTCAGATAACTGGACCTGCTTCCCAGGTCTACCTCGAACCTCTAAAAGCCGCCGAATAATATCATCCAAAACAGCCGGTTCCATTTCCTAACCATGCAAGTACAACACGTCCACCTTCTATTCTCCTTGAACAAAGAACAATTCATCATAAGACAACAACAACAACAAAACAAACCTTGAGACCCCAAGAAATGCTGCAAATTTCTACTGCTACGATTGACAGCCACCACAAATAACAACATCCACTGTACATGCAACTTGCAAGCTCTCCAACCAAGTGTTTGAGGGTAACAAGACTAGCTAACCAAATCAAATTGCATCAACATCTTCTCCACTGGAAACAAACAACCAGTGGAAAATTGTCCAAACACTCACCTTAATGTCTTGTATCTAGATGGACTCCAACCTCCTCAGCTGAAAATGTCAAGACACACTGGAGCTGCTCGGGAGACTGGAAGCTGAGGAGAAAGATGGAAAATTGAAAACGTCAGATAGAGAAGATGGAATGGTTCAACCACAGAAATTCAGGAATATCCTAAGATATACAAAATACAGAAACCAATTGGTCAAGGTCGCCCGAAATGAAAGGAGTAAGGAAAAACAACCGTAGGGAACGAGACTGGAGGCGGTGTGATCTTAGGCACACAACGCCGACGGTGGGGATGGAGTTAAGAGCGGGAGATTCCTTTGAATGGAGCACTGGCATACAACTTTAAGAGGAAATGCGTCGCGGCGGCAGCTGAGGAGCTACAACTCCCAAGTCAACGAGTCCGGATACAGGAAGGGAGACAGTTGAGCTGATAGAGAGAGGGAGGGAGAAAGCCGAACTTCGATCAACAAGAGCGGAGACGGCAGCGGCGTCAGAGAGGAAGGTAACGGAGCCACCAAGAAGCAAAAAGTAGGTTTCAATCGGATCGATCGAAATTGGACGAAACACCAGAACGATCGTCGATCTTCTTCCTCCGCCGGCGAAGTTGATTGGGAAACTTTGAGTTCCGATGGTGGTAGGAAACGTAGAGACAGAGCAGCCGACGGACTTCCTTCCGGTGGGAGAGAAGGGCCGAAGGCCTGAGATGGGGGGGAGAGAGAGAGACGGATATGGGATTCGATTATTTCTTAATTGTTAGGGTTTCGGTTTATTTTCGATTTTGTTCCATTTTCTGTATCCCACTTCGAATTCCAAGTTACATAAAAAATGAGATAAAGTTATTATTAACATTTTGTTTGGTATAAATAAATCCGGGTTAATTGCATGGTTGGTCACTGAGATTACAAAAAACATTCACGTTTGGTCACTCTAAATATTTAAATCCGTTGGTGGTACTTCAGTTTACTTTTTTTTTTTGTAGAAGGCAGACGCAAAGGCGTCCTAGATCATTTCATTAATATCACGACTCATGGAAACACCCATGTTGTCATACAAAAGCCAGTAACACAAGTTCGGGTCGCTCACATCGAACGGATGTGTGCCAAAAGTAAGGGAATGACCCTTAGAAGCCAAGAAGTCAGCTGCAAAATTACCCTCCCGAAAAACATGGTTAATTTCAACAACCCACTCCCTAGCAAGAATACTCTCAAAGAGCTTAGCAATGTGACCATGACAGTGATCACTATTACTCCTATTCCTAATGATAGCTAATGCAGTTGTAGAGTCAAGATTGAGCTCCACTCTTCTATGACCAAGCTGCCAGGCCATTTCCAATCCTTCTGCAGCTCCTCTCAATTCGGCTCGAGTAATGGTGCATCTCCCGAAATTGCAAGCAAACGCCCCTAGGCATCTTCCCAGGTGGTCTCAAATGAGGCCCCCTGCAGCAGCATGACCAGAAGGTTGGATCACTGATCCATCTGATTGAACCTGAATTCAGCCCTCTCTTGGAGGTTTCCAAGCAATCTCGAGACTAGATTTGGTCTTGTCAACAGGTGCAAGGCATTTCTGAGCATTAATCAATGCTTGGCTGTAGATGTTAATCCAAGCATTCACCCTCTGAATCAATCCAGCTTCTGAATAAGATTTGCCATCCATTGCTTCTTCATTTCGTTGTTTCCACAAGTTCCAGCAGATAATGCCAAAGTCAACTCCTGTATGCTGATCCATCATATTCTTTATCAACCATGTCTGAAAGTTGATTCTATTATCATCCACCTTAAGCTTGTTTCTGAAATGTCTCCAAAGTCCAGCAGTTTTCCCACACTTCCTGAGGATGTGTTCTGTTGTTTCTTCTGTTGTTCTGCAGTGTTTGCACATTCCATCTTCTGTCAGCTTCCTCTTTTCTCTTTCTTTGTTTGTGAGCAGCCTGTTATGGTTTGCCAGCCACAAGAAGTGTTTGATACGGCTCGGACCCTTCCATTTCCACAGGTCTCTCCATGCATCAATTGGTGTGTTGTCCACTTCCCCAGCCACCAGCGAATAGGCTGATTTGAGTTTGAATCTGCCATCTTTCTCGATCCCCCAGACTGTTTTATCTTCTCCTAGGTCTGAATTAGGCACATCAGTACCTGCAATAAGAGAGATCATCTCATTAGGGATGTATGACCTCATCCTATCCCAGTCCCACTCACTTGAAGCATCAGTCCAACTAGAGACAGGTGCACTCAGTTCTTCCTCAGTCAGCTCTTTCAGGGCAAACTCCTCGAGGGTCAGACCACTTTCAACCCAGGGATGAGTCCAAAAGCTGGTTGTGTCCCCGTTCCTCACACTCCATTGAGTGGCTTGTTTCATGTAGGGCATGGTTTTGAGGATGCCCTTCCAAAGGCTTGAGTGGTTACTGCTCTTCATCTTTGTGATCTTGCCATCTTTATGGTGGAAGTATTTTCCATGCAACACTTTAACCCACAGGTCATGTTCATTATTGAATAAATTCCAAGCGAGCTTAACCATATAGGCTAGATTCAAACACCTAGCAGATCTAAGGCCAAGCCCCCCCTGATCTTTAGGCTTACACACAGTATCCCAGGAGAGCAGATGCACTTTCTTCTTCCCCTCAATCGATCCCCATACAAACCCTCTAATTTTTTGGTCAATTAAATCACAAATGGAGAGAGGAAGCATGGACGTTTGCATTGCATAAGATGGAATAGAGTTGAGAACTGAGATAGCCAGAGTCACCCTTCCTGCCAAGGAAAGGGATCTTGCTTTCCTAGAGGAAAGCTTGCTATCCATTCTCTCGAGAATGTACTTATAAGTATTCCTCGACAGTCTACCATGCAAAACAGGAACCCCCAGATACTTCCCAAGATCAGGGGTAGACTGGATTCCTAGAGTATCACAAATATTCTGCCTATCACAACATCTAACATTTTTAGAGAAGAAGACCCTAGATTTATCTTTACTAATAAGCTCCCCTGACGCAATACAAAAGGAATCCAAACATCTCAGGACAGCCTCAGCTTGCAAACAGGAAGCCTCAGCAAAAAGAACTAAGTCATCAGCAAAGAACAAATGAGATAGAGCAGGACCATTTGATGACAGTTTCACAGGTTTCCATTTTCTAGTGTTTACTTCATGAAAAATGCAATGGCTAAGTCTTTCAACACAAAGAGTAAACAAGTAAGGGGAGAGAGGGCATCCCTGACGAAGGCCTCTTGATGGTTTGAAGCTTTCAGTTTCTCCTCCATTCCACAAAACTTGCATTTCAGTGGTTGTGACACACTCCATGACCATTCTGAGAAAGCTGTCAGGTAGTCATGCACTGTGAAGGGTTTGCTCCAAGAACCTCCAGTCAATCCTATCATATGCCTTTGCAAGATCAACTTTTAGGAGCATTACTCCTTTCTTTCCAGTCTTCCTTGCCATGGAATGGACTGTCTCCTGCAGGATAATGATATTGTCAGTAATATGTCTATTAGGAACAAAGTTTGACTGGTTTTGATGCACAAGAGAGGGCATCAAACCCTTAAGCTTGTTAGCAAGGCATTTAGCAACAATTTTATACCCTACATTGCATAGGCTAATAGGCCTAAACTGATTCATGGAGGTGGGGGATTCAGTTTTAGGTATAAGGGCAAGCAAAGTTTGGTTAACTAGTCTGATGTTGGAATGAACAAGGAAGCATGAAGAGATGAAGTTAGAGAGATCTTCCCCAATTTGGCCCCAGCATTTTTGGAAGAAAATGACCTGGTAGCCATCTTTGCCTGGTGCCTTGAGGCCATTCATACTCCTCACAGTAGCTCTTATCTCATCCATACTTGGAGGGGTGCACAGCCTGGTAGCTTCTCCTTCCTCAACTGCAGGAAAGTTGGCAGGTATCGAATGGATGGGGTCCTGCCCTTCTTTGCTGTACAAGCGAACGAAGTGGTCTCTGGCCATGATTTGCAGCACTTCTGGGTCAGTAATCCAGTTTCCATCCTCATCATTCAGTCCAATGATTCTGTTCCTTCTCTTTCTGCTGAGGGTACTATTGTGGAAGAACCTTGTGTTCTGGTTTCCCTGGATAATCCAATTTGCACGAGATTTCTGAAGCCAAAGAACCTCCTCCTGCCATAAGGTTTCTTCAAGTTCTTCTCTCACTTTGCATTCTTGGATTCTAGATTGGACACTAGGTGACCTCTCATTCTTGGCTTCCAGAGCTTGGAGTCTATGCCAAAGGCTCTTCTTCCTCTTGAAGATGTTGCCAAACACCTCTCTATTCCATTTCGTGAGCTTATCCGAGAGATTCTGCAATTTGAAAGGAAAGGTAGATGCATTACCAACACTCCAAGCATTATTCAGAAAAGGAAAGAAATCTTTGTGAGCAATCCAAGGAGCCAGAAATTGGAATCTCCTCACCAGTTTACTCTTATCCACAGGGCCTTCACAGCTCAACAGTATTGGTCCGTGGTCAGACTTCAACTTAGGGAGATGAAGGTTTGTCGAATCTGGGAAGGCTTGCAGCCACTTTGAGTTGCAGATGCAGCGGTCAAGACGTTCCTTAAGCCTCGAATTCTTCGTGAACCATGTGAATCTAGGGCCGTTGAACCCCAAGTCAATCAACCCATTCTCGTCCAAGCACTCATTGAAAGCTTTCACCTTACCAAAGTTGAAGGGGGCACCACCTTGCTTTTCTGAGGATTTAGAGATGGAGTTAAAGTCGCCAAGCAAAACCCAAGGGATCTTTGTCCTCCTTTGAATCCTGCCAATGATCTCCCAAAGCTCCCCTCTGTTATGCTCATTAGGACTGGCATAAACAGCTGTAATCTGGCAAACTTCTTTATTATCCTTCCAACATTTGAGGTTAATAAACTGTCTATGACAATCCAATAACTCCAAATTCTTTATTCCATAAGACCCTATGGCGTCAGACACTTTCCATGAGTCAAATCCTAAGGACTTAATCACTTTTAAAGCCTCTTCACCACTAATTCTAGGCTCCAAAATGCAGAGGATATTTGGATCATACATTTTCTTGTAGAACTCCACAGTGGAGTGGAATTTCGGGTGCTGAGCACCACGACAGTTCCAGGAAAGTGCTCTAATCATAATAGATAAGAAATACTTCCCTTCCCCGAACCAAGAGTTGACAGTTCATGTGGAGTCGACGGCCATGGCCGTCTCTTCCTGCCCTTGAACATTATCTGGTGCCTCCTTTGCAGGTGCGCTAGCACTTTCAAGTGTTGCCATATCCTTCCCTGAGCTTGCTTCAAACTCAAGCTTCCGTGTATGGCTGGTCCCATTCTCTGGGGTGGTGGTGATCCTCAACGTGTGTTTCTTCGTTGCCTCTGGTGGTGGTTCCTTCATCTTGGGCTGGTGTCCCGAGGTCCCCACCACATTGTGATCTTTCCCTTTCCCCTGTTTTTTGTTTTCAGGGGTTTTTTGATTTGGGATTGCAGGAACCTTGGGCTCTCCTTTGAGTTGTGCATCTTTGGAACTCAACTTACCCTTCCCTGCCACTCCTTTGCTTGACTTCGTGTTCCCAAAGTCCTGTTTACTGGCCACAACGTTGGCCTTCATGCCTGACTTTGAGACCACTGGTGATGCTTTCTGGTTCTCCTTCCTGCCTACTTCTTTTCCTTGTAATTGTTTCTTCTGTTTGTCTTTCTTGGGTTGACTCTCTTTCTCCTGTTTCTTCATTTTTGAATCTTCCTTACTGTGTCCCTTCTCAACTCCAACTCCGTCAGATGTTGCTGCTTCTTCACCATGCTGTGCCATTGGAGCATTTTCAGTGTCAACATTCTCTGCATCATCTTTCCCTGTTTGTTCCTCCTCGAGTACACTAAATCTGGACCCCTCTGGTTGTTCTTCCTTTGCTGCAGCAGTTTTTCCTGATTCACTCTTCTTTGCCGCAGCCCATTTCGGGTTCATTCTTCTCTTTGGCCTTGAGGCGATCATTCATGGCCCATAGTCTTCCACCACTTCCGGTCGAATAACATTACCCTGTCCTTGGTGATCTGTACTCGTGGTCTGCTGTTCATGCGAGGCAGGAGTTTTCTTCTCCTGGGTGGGGCATTTGGCCTCCAGATGGCCATAGAGACCACACTCATAGCAGACTGTTTCCAGTCCCTCATACTCCACTCTTCTGACTCTCCTCTTCAGCCTATATTTGGGCACCAGTCTTTTCCTGAGATCAATTTCCACACATATCCTCGCATAATTTCCTCGAAACCCATTTGACGTATTGTAATCAATCTTCACCACTCTGCCTATCCTGCTACCAATGCTCTCAAGTATTTCTTCATCGAAGTATGCCATCGGGAGGCGTGGAAGACGAACCCAAACCATCGTCTTGTTGATAACATCAAAGTCGTGATCGAAATCCAACCTCCACAGCTCCGCTGCAATGTATTGCTTATCAACCGTCCATGGTCCTCCGTAGAGAGCTCTGTCATAGTCAAGCTGTGAGCCAAAAATCGCTTGGTAATATCCATTGCCTATATCACCAATCTTAACCATCCCTGTTTTCGCCCACATCTTATGGACTTTCCTGTGAATAAAAGCAAAGGGAAGGCTGCCACCAAGGATCCTGAACGTGATTGCTCTACTCCATCGGTGGCGAACTCTAGCGTCGGTACTCTTCTTGATTCGGATGGTTGGACACAGTGGGTCATCCTCCACATCTTCTCCATCAGACTCATCTGACATGAGGTCATCTCCCTGAGGGCAATCTGACTGAGGTCCATTCCCCAACACTGAATCCTTGTAGGAGACTCTGTTCTGTTGGGTACGCCTATGATCTTCTGTTTCCCTGTTGCAAGCTTGATTCATTTCCGATCCCTCCATTTCCGAATCTGGGTCCTCTGTTGTAGCCGTCACAATCGCGAAGTCCATCTGTC